AGGCTCCTTTGACCCCAGGTCTCAGGACTCTGGCTCAGCATTACTCTAGACTTGAGGTTCAAAGTCAAAGTCATCTTTCCTTGAACACTTTAGGCCTGAGTCACAGTGCTTGGCCATGGTACCTGTTCAGGAAGTTAACTGGTCTGTGGGTCTGTAATGTCCACCCTGGAACAGGGGAAAGGGCACGAGTTTGGGGACTGGGCATCAGACCTGGAGTCAAAAGCTGAAGACCATTCATGACTAGGCTGTGAGCCCTTGACTAAATCACTGAGTCTCTCTGAACCTCAGTCTCCTTATCTATAAAATGGGGATGGTATAGTGACCACTTCACAGAGCTACTGAAAGGATTAGGAATAACACACACAGAATGTCTGTGCTTAATTAACAGTAGCTATGACTACTGTGAGGGGCTACGGATCTGGTGTTAGGGGCAGGGCCTGGGCCAGGCACGTGCAGCATAGACTCTGCCCAAACAGGGCCCCATATGCACTGCCGGATGCAGAGATGGGCCCTGGCCTCAGAGAGCTGACCCCGGACAGCACACAGCAGGCTCTATTATACTTCCGGGCTCAGTGGCCCGTGCCATCAGCCACGGGACAGCTGGCTTATTGGCCCCTACCCTGTCTCACTGACAGAGAATTTGGGAAGTTCCCTAGAGGAGGACTTTAAGAAGAGGACACAAACCAGTCTCTATTTCTCCTTTCCTTCTGGAGAAATGGAAAGGGGAAGAGTCAAGCCAAAACAGAAAGTACATTCATCGCTGTGCACTGCCCCCTCCGGCCAGGACGTTCTGAAAATACAGAAAAACCCTAACAGACCAAGGCTGACTCAGGCCCCCTGCCTCCTCCACACACCAGGCCCCATTAAATGTCCAGGATGCCCTGGCTCTGTGCTGACAAGACCCCCGGCCTACTCAGGGGCTGGTGAGTCAGGCCCCACCCACCCTTAGTGCTACTGGATAAAACTCGGGAGCTAGCGAGGTCAAGTTCTCAAGGTCAGTCTGGAAAGGGCCAGTCATCTTCTGGAAGAGAGCTCAGTCAGGTCAGCTCATTCAAGGGAAGGCTCCACAGGCAGAAGGGAGTTCAGTACGAACCCCTGCCAGCACCAGCTCTGGCCAGGCAGAAGCTAGGATCAGCCCCAGCCAGAAAAAGTTCACAAGGATACACAACTGGTCAGAGGGGATGCCCTGCTTGTCCCTTGTTTTACAGATGTGGCAGCCACCCCTGGGGGAGGGGTACCGAGGCAGTTTCTCAGCGACAGCTGTGGACCTGGAGTCAAGAGACAGTTCTTGAAGGTCCTGCTGAGTGACACTGATCTTACTTCCCTTGAGTCCCAGCCTCCTCATCTGTAAAATAGAGCCAACAATCTCTACCACTCAAGGGAACAAGTATGAGCTGACAAATGTACAGGCTTTCTGGTCTCACCCATATCCCCTCCCCAACTCTAGGTGTGTGAGAGCTCGGTTTTTCGTTTTTTGTTTTTGTTTTTTTAAAGATTTTATTTATTTATTTGACAGACAGAGATCACAAGCAGGTAGAGAGGGAGGCAGAGAGAAAGCAAGGGAAGCAGGCCCCCTACTGAACAGAGAGCCGGATTGGGGAGGGGCCTCCATCCCAGGACCCTGGGATCATGACCTGAGCCAAAGGCAGAGGCTTTAACCCACTGAGCCACCCAAGCGCCACGAGAGCTCGGTTTAACGCTGAGCCTGTGCTAGTCCCTGGGGCTATTCGAGGGCTTGGGGTCTGGTGAGGGAAGCTAACACATACATAAAACAGTGTCTCACTGTAATCAGCACTTTCAGGGAGGAACAAACAATGGACCGTGGGCTCTCAGAGAAGGGACATCTGACCCAGGCTGCAGTGGGTGAGGTTGGGAAAGCCACAAAGAGGAGGAGCCCTCTGACCCACGCCTTGAAGAATCCATATATATCAACCATAGGCAAGGAAGACGAGCATTTCAGGCAGGCAAACTAGCATGACCAAAGGCCCAGACTCTGGTCTAAAGCACAGGCCCAGCGCATAAGCTTGCAGGCTGAACACCCCAGGGGCTCTGCCCCCAACACCAGGCGCCAGGCCTTCAGTCCCCTCCGGGCATGGTCCCCACAGGCTCCTAAAGCAAGGTGACACTTCCTTATAGCCAAGCAAGGAAAGGAATTCCCAAACTCAGCAAAGGAGGCTGCCTCTGCCCTCCTGCCCACTTTAGCCCTCCCCCTGCAAGAGCTCTGTTCAGAGGATCAAGCTGCCCACTCTCTGAGTCCACCCTGGTCTCTACCTCTCTCTGGTAAGCTCATCCTCTTGCCCTAAGGTCCCTCACTAATTGTCAGCTGCTCTGGGAAGCCATTCTTGGCCCTTCTTTCCCATGGGTTCCCAGAGCTCTGTGTACATTCCCACAGAATTAATGCTTGTCATGTAACATTCATTCATTTCCAGAGTCATTTCTGAGCAGACTAACATCAGGTCTGGGTCTTTTTCATTCTTGAATCCTCACTCAATAAATCCAAACCCCAAACCCCATGCCCTCCACCTCAGCATTTTATTTATTGACAAAAAGCCAGGCTTTGGGGCTCTGGGACAGAATGAGAAGTCAGCCACATCAACATTCCTCAAGCAACTTATGAAATTAAAAATTACAACCACTGCTCTATAACATTTTTATATAAGCAGTAACAGTGCACATGTATTTATTGAGCATTCATGTGCTCACTGATTTAAACACTACACACACATTATTTCATTGAATCCTTACAGTAACTCTATGAGGTAGATGCAGTGCTACCTCCATTTTACAAATGAGGAAACTGAGGCACTTTCTTCACCAAGGGGATAAAACAGTATCATAACCCACAAAGTCTGAATCAGGAGCCTGCATTCTCAACCACTGTTCTAGTATGGACAGGGTGTTGCAGGGACACAGGGGGCCAGTATTGTCTTGGGGGGGGGGGATGGGAGAAAGTCAACCCAGAGGTCATATTGCCTGAGCTGAGCACTTAGAAAGACAAGTAGAAGGTAGCCTGGCAGATAAGAGAAGGGGCTTCCCAGGCAGAGCGGCTGGTGCGCAAAGACATGGAGACACAAAAGTACAAGGTGTGGGCAAGTTCATCCTGCAGCACCTTGTTACTGGACTTGAGGGTGCACTTAGGAGACTGGCAGGAAAGAGGCCAGAACCCAGACGGTGCTGCAAACTGTGCTGGGATCCATCTTTTTCCACAAGCAAGAAAGTAATGCTATGAGACTTGTGTTTTAAAAAGATCACAAGGGGCGCCTGGGTGGCTCAGTGGGTTAAAGCCTCTGCCTTCCGCTCAGGTCATGATCCCAGGGTCCTGGGATCGAGCCCCACATCAGGCTCTCTGCTCAGCAGGGAGCCTGCTTCTCCCTCTCTGTCTGCCTCTCTGCCTATCTGTCAAATAAATAGATAAAATCTTCAAATAAAAATAAAAAGGGGCGGGGCACCTGGGTGGCTCAGTGGGTTAAAGCCTCTGCCTTCCGCTCAAGTCATGATCTCAGGGTCCTGGGATCAAGCCCCACATCGGGCTCTCTGCTCAGCAGGGAGCCTGCTTCCTCCTCTCTCTCTGCCTGCCTCTCTGCCTCCTTGTGATTTCTGTCAAATAAATAAATAAATCTTTTAAAAAAAATAAAAAGGGGCACCTGGCTGGCTCAGTCAGAAGTTTAGTTTAAAAAAAAAAAAAAAAAAAAAAGGATCCTAAGGCTTAGTGTGGAGACTGGGTTGCAAGCAGCCATGATTGGAAGCTGCTGGGAAGCCACTACAGTTATCCTAGTGAGAAACACATCAAGGTGGTACCAGAGATGGAGGCCCAGGACCATGTTCAGGAAGTCAGCTGGATCGGGGCACCCCACAGATATGGGAACTGAGGGAGAAGAGGAAGCGTAATACAATTTCCTGGTCTCGCGCTGTGATGCGATGGCACAGGAAGAATGCATTTGCAGGGGGGGAAAGACCACTCCAAGAGAGCTGCGGCTGAAATGGAGCTGTCCACTGCTAGCTTGGACGCCCAAGTCTGGGGCTCCAGGGAGTGGCTGCGCTGAAGAAAGAGGTCGATGTGGGCGCCTTTCGGGTACCTAGGTGGTGTAGAGCTGAAGCCACAAGAGTGGATGAGACCATCAAAACTCAGTGTGTAGGGGCGCCTGGGTGGCTCAGTGGGTTGGAGCCCCTGCCTTCGGCTCAGGTCATGATCCCAGGGTTCTGGGATTGAGCCCCGCATCGCATCGGGCTTTCTGCTCAGCGGGGAGCCTGCTTCCTCCTCTATCTCTGCCTGCTTCATTGCCTACTTGCGATCTCTGTCTGTCAAATAAGTAAATCTTAAAAAAACAAAAAACAAAAAACAAAACTCAATGTATAGAGCGGGGGTTTGGGCAGGAAACGAGACTGGGAAACGGTACTTCCACTGGCAGGACAGGAGGAAGAAAATAAGGAGATGGAGATGCCGAGGACGCCAAGGGGGAGGGGCGTGTCAATTACATCAAGTAGGAACGAGTATCACTGGTGTAATGCACCTCTAAGAACTCGAGATTCTTTAAAGAGCCCTTTTGATGTCAGTTAGGGAAGTCATTCACTGCCGTTTTCAAAGGAAGTTGGGGGAGACCGGAAGACAGTGAGACGCAGACCTATCGGGACGTGTAGATGTTTTCCTCCTCTTTCAGAGACCCTGACCCCTGCCCATATCCAACTCCTGACCCCCACTACCCAGATTTCGTGCCTCGCCTCTCCCCTCAGAGTGAAGAGCGTGTCTCGGGAGGGCGATCCGGTACGCCCTTCCCGGGCGCTCTCTGGTTGGCGGAGCCGCGGAGGGTCGTCGTCGGAGCCCCCCAAAACCCCGCGCGGGGCGGAGCGAGGCCGAGCAGGAAAAGGGGGCGGAACCTGAGACGCGGCGGGTGCGGGAAGGGTCGGACGGAACCAACAACGGACACTGGGCAGGGAGGTGGAATCCGCTGACAAGACACAGACCTCGTACCACCCGGCCCCAGTGACCTCCCCGGACCCACCTGCTCCATATCAGCCACAGCCCAAGCTCTTCCTGCCTCAGCCGCAGTCCGGCTCGGCAGCCCCCCGAGCGCCTCCGAGCGGAACAGGATCTCCCGGCGGCGCCACTTCCGCCACTGAGCCCGCCCCCGAGAGCGACGGGGCCGTGCGTAAGGTGCAGCCCCGCCCCTTCGCCTCAGTCTCCGCCCCCAAGCGTCTAGGCCCCGCTTGGAGGGCCGGAAGTGGGGACTGCTTGAGAGGGTCTTACTAATGGTGGGGGAAATGGGAAAGAAGCCCAGGATCATCATCATTGTTGGGCCACAGAGGCCTGGCACTGTGGGGAAAAAAGGGGAACCGAGGGGAGGCTTTTGGGGCTGGCGGACAGATCCCTTCGGAGAAACCCAATTACTCTTGAAAGTTCTTTTCCCTCCCTGCCTCATTTAGCCACCCCTAGCAGGATCCTAGGGTACTTCTGTGGTCCTTCCAAAGAGTGCTCTGAACTTGTCTGCAGGAAAGATCCAGACTAGAGGACCGGACACTAGGGTCGAGGTGGCTACCCACCAGGTCTTCCACATAGGGGAATCCGTTTCCCCCTCCTCCCTCTGTTTTTCCCTGAAAGAGAAGTCTCAGCACGGTTATTTACAAAGATTTATTTATTACGGCACAGGAGTGGTTCAGGCCTGGAGTCAGGGACGAGGGGAAGGGGGCAGAGCAGCTGGAGGACAAGGAGAACCTGGCTTCCCCACCGTGCGCCCCCCTAAGGACATATACTAGGCGGCATTCCTGGCATCAAAGCACAAACAAAACGCAACAAAGCAGCCTCTGCTAGTCCATCTTCCAGGCACCCAGGCTGGGGAGCAGGGGTGATAAAGGGAAGATTTCTAAAATGTTGAGGTTGAGGAGAAGGATGCCTGAATCCTGGGCCCTGGTAGAAGACAGAGAGGGGTGGTAACTTGAAATCCCCCATAGGAGAGGGGATGGAGAAGGGTCTAAGGGCACCTACAGGTTCTCAGTACCCTCTTTCCCCAGATCTTAGGGTCCTGCCCTGTGGGTTTCCTGTGCCCAGGAGAAGGGTCTGGGGAGTAGAATTGTGAAGGATAAACCTTTGCCCCCCACCCTTACTGGATTATCCACTGCAAACTCTCTCACATCCCGCCTCCCTCTGGGTAAATGGGGGAATGACTGGCAGGGGTAGGCATCAGGCAGCAAGTGCCCAGGGACTCTGGGCATCAGCCAAAGGTGGGCAAACAAGCAAACACAGACCAGCCTTAAGTCTTCTAGAAGTCAGAAGCCACAGCCCTAGCGAGTGAGGGGGAAGGATACAGAATAGGGTGGGGACAGAGCGGGTTTCTGGGGAACAGCAATGCCCCCTCCACTTCCTTCTGAGCGACGCGAGGACGGTTGCCTATGTGCCAGGCTCAGGGTGGGCGGGGCGCTGTGGCTCCTCCCCAGGCTCTGCAAGGCAAGCGGAGGGAGTCAGGGATTGGCCACGCCCACAAAAAAATCCCAGCCCCGCCTCCCATCGGCCACCACCAAGCCTCACCATTTAGTGCCAGGTCTTCCACTTGTTCCTTGGAGCTTCCATCTCTCTGGGGCTCATCCAGAGGGGGTGGGCGCTCCCAGGGTCCTTCCAGACCCTGGCCACAAGCTGTCTTCTGCCCAGCTGGGAATAGGAATGAAGAGATAAAAACACAGACTCTAAGTATCCATTCAGCAGCCCTCCTGGAGCGTGAGCTGAGCCTGTCTGATGGCTGAGGCTAAGCTTTCTGAGGGCATCATGGTATGATGAAGAGAACGCTGGACCAAGAATGCTGTCCCAGTGACTAGCTATGTGAGTTAAATAAGTCAGTTACTACCTCTCTGAAGGGGACGGTGAGAAGGAAATTGCATAGATTATCTTAAATAAGAGACTAGTTAATATGCTGACCAGACCAAACCGGCACTCCGGGAGTGGTGGTGATCAATATCTCTCCTTGGTAATCTTGTCATTTGACCTTCTGCCCTGCTGCTTTTCCAGAGGGAAGTGTCTCCTCTTGCTTCTTCTCGACCTGTCCTAAGGGTCTCACGGGGGAGTTCACTCAACTTCTACCTGAAGCTTTTGCTCCAGTGTTGATCCCCCACTGCCAGAGATGCAGAGGAGGTCCAAGCCATTTTGTTTGGGTGCAAGGGCTGGACACTGCAAGCATGGGTGGTCGACTGTTTCTCATCCCCATAAATAACGGGACCAGAAAGTTTAACATGCTCCAGGAGGGATAGATAGGGCACAGCTTTCCATAGCTAAGCATGGAAAACACAGCTATGGGAGGGGCAGAGATCTTTCTGCCTAGGAATTCTCTGGGCCTTGGGACCCTCAGTGGAGATTTCTGGGTCTGGGGCCTCTAGCTCTGAGGTCTTTTGTGTAGGTCTTAGGTCCCTTCTAGACCCCTCTCTTGCCTCGCAGTTGGAGTTGAAACGCAGAAGGCTAGGTTGTTCTTGAATCCCAGATTCTTCATCCAGACACTAGAGGGCGCTTCTCACCACCCCCACCCCCTCACCCAAACCCAGGAAATAAAAGGGGGAGAAACAGCCTCCTGGGGAGGACTTAGGAACCTGCTCTTTGCCTCCCAGCAGAAACCACATCCTACGTTTAAAAATGCAGGAAATGGGGACATTGGACCCTTTTAGTTTTCTATCCCTGCATCTCCTGTAGCCCCTCAGGGCCATGGCTGGGAAGTCTTTTCTTGGGTCTAGCCTCAAACCTCATGTGGCCTTGCTGTAATCCTCAGGGAAGAGAGGAATTACTGGGGACGACTTGATCAGGAGAGGGACTGGGTCAGGATGGGAGCAGTCCAGGTATCCGGTAGGGCACCTTGTGGGTGGGAGGATGGGGAGGCCCTCGCCGTGTGATGGCGGTTTACATGTGTGAAAAGCTGTGAACTGGGAGGGGTGCCCCAGGTCACTCAGGGAGGACCCCACCAGGTTTCCCCACCCCCTCAGCTTACCAGGCCCCCTGCTACTCTTCAGGATTTCAGCCTGGCTGTCCTCCTCCTCTTCCTCCTCTTCGTCATCGTCCTCCTCCTCCTCCTCGTCTTCCTCTCTTGGGTAGCCCAGCTCCCGCAGCTCCCCCAGCTCATCTTCCTCCTCGGAGGCCTGGTTCTCGCCCAGGTTGCTGATGGACTGCAGGTGCGACTCAGCAATGCGCTGCACGGCTGGCACATGGGGCCCCAGGAAGGCAGGGGTGAGCCAGGCCAACCAGAGGCCCATGGCGCCGGAGAGGAGAGGCACGTGACCTGATGCATGGCTAACTCACTCAGGGGTCTAGTTCAAAAGCTAAAGGTCACAGGTCAGTCTTGCTGGTGGCCAGACCAGGACAGAAGCAGCAGGGGGTAGACCCTTAATTGCACTTGGCTCCTAAGCTGTCCTGTGAGGCAGACCTCCTTGGAGGCTGGCACCAGGGGGCCCCCCCAGAACCACAGGGTACCAAGCCAGACAAGACCAGGCAGGTAGAGCAGCAGCTTAACATTCCGTGGCTGGGATGCTTGCTTCTCCAAGGACCTGGTACTGGAGACTGTGTCCACTAGTTACAGCCCGGGCTAGAAGGCCCAGGACCTGTGGGCTTTGTCCCTCTCAGTTTCTAGTGGAGACTGCCTAGGGCTCATTGCCTACCCTGATCCTGTGGGCTTGGTCCCCACCTCCTGGCACTGCTCCTGTCAGAGGTGCCACTCCACACATCTCTGCTCCAGGTGCTGAGCTGGGAACAATTCGGAGACTGAGGACAGAACAGTCTACAGCCAGTCAAGTTGGTGCCTGGGGATATGGCGTGCTCAGACGCAGCCCCCACAATCTTGACCCACATCCCCAAGCTTCCAGCTCCCTCTGTGGTGACCTAGAAAGCAGCAAACACCACCCACCCCCCCAACACCAGCAAGGCCTGCTGGGATAGGAAAGGAACAGTGTGGGCAGCTGAGGAGAAGTTTCCAAAAGATGTAAAGGCCCAGGGGCTTAGGAGAAAGGGGCCAGGGCTGGGGGATTCTGGGGGAATGGCAGGGGTTGAGGGGACGCTGTGAGGAGTGTCTGGGGCAGAAGTAGCAGGGGGACTGGGGGGTCTGAGGGGGGAGACCAGAGCAGACCTCACAGCTCACAGACAGGATGCTGACAAGCTAGGGGCTGGGGTTGCTACAGCTCCTTCTCGGGTGGCAGGCAGCCCCTCCCCTCAGAAAGCCCAGAGTGGGAGGGCCAGGCTGGAAACCTCCGGTGCAATGAACAGGGCACCACACTCCTGCCAACTTGGGACAGGCACAGAGGGCGCATTGTGTGGGCCCGCTGCCCCGCCCTGCCCCAGGCTCCCAGCCTAGTGCCTCCCGCGGGCTCTGGGCAAACTACCCAGTCAATAAAAATGCAATAGATCGCCCTGCCCTGGCCTTGGGGACGCGGCAGAGCATCACCTTGAGCCAAGTGAGAGCCTGGCCTTGGAGAGTCCCCCTCAGGCCAAGACCTGGTGTTGTCCACCCTCCCCTGGAAACCCTCAGCTTCTCTCCTTACAAACCCCCAACCCTGCCAGGAGCTTTCCCTTGCCTGGAAAGGGGCTAAAGGGGCTAAAGCAAAATAGGGCCCTCCAGGTACAGAAGGGTCCTCTGAGGGTTGGGGGAAGGGCGGAGAGGAGGTGGCTGCTCCAGCAACTGCCCTCTCCCCCAATCAGGGGAGGAGAGCTTAGTTCCTGAGCCCCAGTGACAATAGGTATTCGGAGCCCACCCATGCTGGCACCCCGGTGAGCCTCCCTTGCACCTCGCCTCCCCTTGTGCCTCTCCAGTCTCCCCCTCGCCCTCAGCTGTCTTCTTCTCTGTCCCCATTTCTGGGGCCCTGGACTCCAAGTCTAGGGCCCAACCCAAGCTCCCCTTTCAAAGCTAGACGGTCTCCAGCACAGCCCCCAGAATGCCCTGCCTCTCCCAACGCAGACCCTGCTAAGGGGTAGCCCAAAGGAGCAATGAGGGGGAGCCCATTTCTAGCCCTTGCAAGGTACTCGGGAAGTCCATGGGCCCTATCGACTTCACCCCAGCCTTCTGCCCCGTGCTCATGACCAAGAGTCCGAGGCACAGTTTTCGCCCCTCACATCCACTCAGCCCTCCTCAGCCCAGAGTAGGGAGGAAAGAGAGAACTTCTT